GGTGATGTTTTTCTAAGCAAATGTAGATACATTCATGTCCACATCATGAACTTGGCAGTTTTGGGAAGGACTTGAGCAGGTTACATTCACACCTTTTCTGATAGTGACTGTTGCTGTGATTCCCTCCTAATCTTACATGGGGCATTGCTATGAGAAATAATTTTATGAAGAAATGCAAGACTCACATGTGTTATGTACCATGGAAAGCAAATGGGATAGCATGTGATGGTAAGAGGCAGACCTGAGCAGATACGTGATTTTATTTAAATTTAATTCCCCTCAAACCCCATCTAATTATGGAGTTGTTTTTTCCTTCATTAGCATTTCAGTGAAAATGTGCTGAGTTTGTTTCTAAAAATAAAATACCGTATGTTTAAGGGTTTTTTTTTCTTAGAGGACTTTTTGATTAATTCAGTTAATCCCCACCATAGTGCTAAAAGCAACAAGTCCTCAATGAGGTTTTTTGGCCATATTAGAGTAGGGGTCTTGTGTGAGTGCGTAACCAAGGGAAGGAAGGGATCACTCGGAAATGACAGAAAGTGGAAGCCTTTATAAGCAAATATTGACCACCGTGGAGGTCAATTGATGTAAAGCAAACACTGGGTGCAGCAGGGGCAATGTCTCAGTTGGAATAATAATGTCATCTCTCCCTGGCATCTTTGCCTCAGCAGGGTGATGTGTGAGCTGTTGTGCAGCAAAACCCCTTTCCAAAGGCCAGGCTGTCCTGGAACAACTCCAACGGGCTCTACTCCGCCTGTATCCAAAGGGCACCTCTTTCCTGTAAATTGATGTCCGCCTCCCTGAGCACGTGCCCCTGGCGCCTTCTGCATCCCCTCCATAGAGCTACACTGTAACTCTGTGTTTTAGAAACATAGTATCATAGAATCAACGAGGCTGGAAAAGACCTTTAAGCTTATCAAGTCCATCCATTACCCCAGCACTGCCAAGGCCACCACTAAACCATGTCACTGAGGGCCTTGTCTATACAATTTCCTGAACACTTAGAATAATTAGGGTTGGAAAGGACCTTAAGATCATCCAGTTCCAACCCCCCTGCCATGGTGACTCCACCGCTGCCCTGGAAAGCCTGTTCCAATGCCTGAACACCATCTCTGTGAAGAAATTGTCCCTAATAGCTAATCTAAACCTCCCCTGGTGCAGGTTGAGGCCGTTTCCACTTATCCTGTCGCTTGTTATTTTGGAGAAGAGACAGACCCCCACCTCTCTACAACCTCCTTTCAGGTAGCTGTAGAGAGCGATGAGGTCCCCCCTGAGCTTCTCTTCTCAAGACTAAACCTCCCAGTTCCCTCAGCTGTTCCTCATCACACCTGTGCTCCATTGCCCTTCACCAGCTCCGTTGCCCATCTCTGGGCCCGCTCCAGTATCTCAATATCTTCCTTGTAGTGTGGGGCCCAGAAGTGAACACAGGATTCGAGGCGTGGCCTTACCAGTGTCCAGTACAGGGGGATCATCTATGCCCTGATACTGCAGGCCACACTTACTTACCCTGATCAGGCCATATCTAAAGAGCATCTCAAGGGTCATGAGATGGTTTAAACCCTAGCCAGACAGCTTGTTCACTCACTCCCAGTGAGTGGTGGCGGGCCGAGAGCAGTCGAGGGCCCCCCCTTCCCCCCAGGCTCTCCCCTTCCCCGCTCCTGGAGGAACGGGGAGGAGGATCGAAAGGGTGCAACTCCTGCGGGTTGAGACAAGAGCAGTCCAGCAACCAATGTACAACACAAATCACCACCGCTACCGCCAACTACAACAATGATAAGGGAAAATAACAAGGGACGAGAATACGATACCGCCGGCCAAGAAACGAGTCCCACCCGGAAGCCCGTGTCCTTCCGGGTAACTCCCAGTTACCCCCCACCCCGGGCATGACGTGCTGTGGTATGGAATACCTCCCTGGCTAGCCTGGGGCAGGTGCCCTGTCTCTGCTTCCCCACAGCTTCCCCTCCTCCCTGGCAGAGCATGAGCCTCACAAAGTCCTTGGTCAGGGTAAACATCACTTAGCAACAACCGAAAACATCGGCTTCACCAACGCTGTTCCCAGGCTGGAAGTCAAAACACAGCACTGCACCAGCTACCACGAAGGAGAAACGACTGCTACTGCTGAACCCAGGACAATAGCATTCAGGATTTCCCTGTTATACCCAAGAAAGAACCCACACAGCCACAAAAGATAATCGGGTTTATCTCGCACAGCACAGCTTATGAACACAGGTTGACAATTCAAACAGAGCCCTTCCTGGGAAGGGCAGAGCTCAAAGTCACATCAAAAGCTAATGTTCCTCCTGAGACTGGCGAACCCATACGGGTCGCCTCCTCCACAATCAGCAAATCTGACATCAGTGCTGTCAGCCCCCAGCAGGTACCGGGGATGATGAGACCCACTATTTCCAAAAAAGTCACCAGGGCCAGTGAGTTTTTTTCCCACCAAAGCCATGCAAAGCTGTCAGCCCACTTCCTATGATCACCATCAGAGTTTTAAAACTTACTTTCCCAGAAATATAGTGTGACAATTGTCTAGATATGTAAATGTTGTGTTTCTGCCAGGATTAGGCAAGCCATTCACCACCCGCTTGTGTGGTCAGGGATACCACACTGACATGGGTGACCAAGGGGAAAGCACAGGGGGACCAAGGGGCTGCTATGAGCATCTTACAGCATTTGTTGACCACTTGGATTCTGTGTCACTCCTTTTACCTGTTTCTAGTTACCTGGATGGGATGGATGGTTTAACTCCTATTGGTAGTGATGAATGTGGTTTTAGGCTGGTGCAAGCCATAGACAGTTGTTTCTTGTAGGACACGGCTGCAGCAGAGAGCTGGACCAGGAAGGTATTGCATGACCTCTAGCCGTGCTTCTAAACTATGCACCAGGCAAGAGCCCTGGTCAGGAACTTTGGGTCTCAGTGGTTTCAGTGCATGAGAAGGAGGCAAAGGAAACTGCTCAGGCAGCATATTTCAGTGCCCTTTCCTGCCCCCAGATCCCACTGGAAAGTCAAATCAAGCCCAAATATTGTTTGTTAATCATAGCGATTTGTTATCTCAGCCCTCAGCACCTCTGCTGCCTCCATGGCCTTGGCATGAACCCCTTGCTCAGCCCGGGACAAGGCACCGTCACTCTCTACTCTCTACTCTCCCCAAAAAGGCTGGATTCGGAAAAGGAAGGTGGAGGGTACGGATGCACGGTCCCCAGGCTGCAGAGCTGCGCGCAACCTCCACCGGGCGGCAGCATTGCCCCCGCTCAACTCCCTGCGCGTCCCTCGCGCAAGCCCCCAGCATCCCTGTGAGTGTCCCCCGCGCATCCTGATGACTGTCCCCCGTGCGTTCCAGCACCGCGCACTCCGCACCCCCGCGCATCCCGCCGTACGTTCCCTGCATAACCACCGAGCGTGCCCGCGCGCAAAGCCCCAAGCAGGCAAATGGTTTCAGTGGCCGGTACAAGGCATGGTTCCAGTTGCAGTTTTCTAGTTCTGGGAAGAGCATCTGGCCTCAGGAGCCTTCTGTTTTCCCATAAGTAAGAGGAAGAAAAATCATATTGAAAGTTGGCAGTGAGGAGAAGTTACGCTGCCCAGGACTGTCACAGCTGTGGCCAGGGCCGAGCAGAAGCTGTGGCTGTGCTGGTGCACAAGGAGCTCTCTAAAGACAGCTGCCTCTGTTTTACATTCTGAGGACTGCAAAGGAGTGTGTTGAGGTTAAAATGTGTATTTGTGCACAAAGGAGCAAGTTCCCTTCTACAATGCTGATGCTGCAGCAAACTAAGTTTGGGAAGCCCTGTTTGGGGAAGGAGCAGCGCTCCTTAGCCTGCCTGTCACATGCAACATTGATGGGCTGAAAAACAGAGAGCCTGGGCCCTGCTGGTGGTTTTTCCGTTTCAGACTCATGAAAATAAGAAGTTGATGTCCTTTATTGTCCTTCTGTATCAAGCCTTCTTATTTTAAACAGCTAAAACGTGAGCGGGTTGCTTATTTGGTGAGTGGCCTGAGATACCTGTGGGAATTTCTCGCCTGTGTTGGACCAGTTCCATGCTCCCCAGTGTGAGACCAGAGAAGAGGATGCTTGGGGTGGGGGTCTTGCCCAAGTGCGTGAATACCTGATGGAGGAATGAGGATGATGGAGCCAGGATCTTCCCAGCAGAGCCCGGTGCCAGGACCAGAGGCGACAGGGAGAAACCAAAACCGTCTAAGCATCAGGAAAATATTTTGTTTTGTTTTGGTTGCATCCCTGGAGACATTCCAGCCCTGAGGGGACACAGCACAGAGCAACCAGGACAGGGTGACCCTGCCCTGAGCAGCTGCTAGGGCTGGTGGTGTCCAGAGTACTCTGTTGTCCTGTGCAAATTAAACATATGGAAAATGCTGGAAACTGCCAGGCAATTAACCAACCGAGTTCAACAGAAAGCAGAGCAGGGAAAGCATCTTAGCAGAAGACGAGCTAAACGTTCGACCAAGTCTGCCCAGCAACAGTGTAAAACGTTGCACATGGTGATTGCCACCCCTGGAATAAGGCAGCTGTGTGTTGGCGAGGGAAGACAGGCTCTGCCTGAGCAGTGATGCTGTGGTACTGGCGATGGCCATCAAGAATCTCAGTCCCAACAAGCTTCTCACTTGTGGGTGCAACCTCACCACTGCAGCTCGGCATCAAATATGTGGGCACAGTTTAGCCCTATGGGGCTTGCTGCCCAAATGTGTCTTGTACAGCTTCAACTCTAGGAAGGACTGCAGCCTTAAGGTTTTCTCTTCTGCTCAGTTTACACAACTGTACGTAATTAAGTCGTACAATATGTGTGTTAAATTCCATTGATGGTTCCATTTACCTTCTCCCTAAGCACGTTTGCAACACAGGCCTGCAAAAGAAACAGTCTGGGGTTGTTTTTTTTTTCAGTTCTGGAATTCATTCTTTGAATTCTTTTGGTTCTCATTTCCTGAGTGGGGAAAAAAAAAAAAAAAGAAGCAGTGCTGATTTAACAACTATGGTTTTGTAAACTGATTACACACTCCTGGGGAGGAGTTTCGAGGAGGAAAGAGCTGTGCAGTTCATAAGTATCTCGGTCTGGGATTGCTGCAGTCTCCTCTGCCTGTGAACGTGCTGGTGAAGGGCAGCATTCCTGCTCGTCTTGAAGCAGCAGCATGGCTGATAAGCTTGTGGAGAGCAAGATCAGGTGTGACAAAGTAACCCTCTTTACAGAGAGAGGCTGCCGTTACTGCAGGAATGCCGAGGAGATGCTCAAGCAGTACAACTTTGTGCCTGGAGCCCTGGAAGTTGTTGATACCACCCAGCGCAAGGATGTCCAGGATTACCTGCAGCAAAGAACAGGGCATAGAACCGTAAGTTCTCGCAGTTGTTCCACAGCACTTGCTGATCCTCTATCCCAGGGCAGCCACACCCTGGCCAGCTGCTGCAGAGGTGGAGGTGAGGGCTCTTTCCCCACGGCTTTTCCTGCCGGATCACGGGGAGAAACTGCAGCCCGCTGCACTGGAAAGGAAGTTCCTTGCTTTGCCCGCCCTGTGCGTCCCGTCGCTGTAGCTACTGCAGGGCGAGTGCTCGGTGCTGAGGTGAGCGCCCGCTCCTCACCGCAGCAGCCGGAGGTGCGGAGCTTTGCCTGCCCAAGCTCTCACATGCAGGGCAGGAGCCACCCCTCCGTGGTCCCCGCACCTCTGCGTAATGAACACAACTTTGCTTTGACTCCCCAGTCCACCCCAGTGAGAACAACATCCAGCGATGCCCAGGGGCGAAGCAGAAGGGACATGCTGGCGATCTGCCTCGCCACTGGTGCTTCAGGGGATTTTTCCTGCACTGGGTGTGCCTCCAGACATGTGACTTGACTCAGCCCCGGGAAAACTCAGAACTGGAAGGCTGCTTTCAGTGCAGCAGGACTGCTAGAGGCTCTGACAGAGGTGTTCCAGTGTCTGTCCTGCCTGAAGGACAGCAAAGCACCAGTGCACCTCCTGTAGAACGCTTGCTCTTGGAGTCAAGTCTCTGTCCTGCTTGTGCCTGATCCTGCTGGCTCAGTTTTAGCCTCTTAGGGGTACCAGAGGGAACCATAGCTCTTGCATGACGCCCTGGCCCTGTCCTGAGTGTGGGTACAGGGCAGCAGCGTGTGGGCACGTGCGGATTTGCCCCTGCCAGGGCAAGACTATGGGCAGCCATCGACCCCCCTCCAAGGCTTTCTGAGCTGCCATTTTCCATTGACCCTTTCCCCCCTTGCTGTTTTATGCCTGTTCTGGCCCATGTCTTTTGTCTTCACTGCCTGAGCTATTACTGTCTCAATAATTCTACTCCCGCTGGTGTTTCCATCTCTTTTTATCTTCCCTGGCTTGCAGCTGTGGCTGTGGTGGTGTCAGCAGTGGTTCACTTCCCTCTGCGGCAAAGCTTTGCCTTCAGAAGCCTTGGATCTAAGGATCCAGAATGGCTCCTGGCCTTCAGGAGAGGCTGGAGTTTAATTTGGTTTTTACCTTTGTTTCTGCACTGATTGCTGTCATCTTGCTGCCAGGCAACCATCATGAGGTGGCCAGGAGAAGGGACAAGCACAGGCAGGAAAACAGCAGAGGCTGTTTCAGGGCTGTGAGGTAGGAGGAGAGCAAAAGGCCAGAGAAAGGGTATGTGGAGAAGGCGCTGAGCAAGAAAGGCAAGTTTGAAGGGCCAAGGGACTTTGATAGTGATGGTGGCCACTAGGGAGACAGCACATGCCACCCAGCACCTTCACGTGCTGGGAAGCACCCGGGAGCACGCTTGGAGAGCCTGCCGTGGGCACATGCATGGTTCATACGCAGGTCTCAGCACTTGGAGCTGCTCGCTCACTGCTCTGGGATCATGTGCTTGGAGCATCTCCAGCACTAACCCAGAGTGTGTTTTTACCCTTCTGCAGCCTCTCTGAAATGCAGGGGCTTCCCCTGCCCCCTTTTGTCTCGCAGCGGTTTTCAGAGAGACGGGAACTGGGCATGGGAACAGGAGGATTTCGTAAATGGTGGTCTCCCTGGTGCACAGTCTGCTTCCAAGACAAATCCTTTCCCCACATTCTGCCTTCAGCAACCAGCTCTTCTGATTAACCTGTGGCATTGCTTTGTGCTCAGCTGCCTGTTGTCTTCATTGGGAGATGCTGCATCGGAGGATTATCCGACCTGCAGAACATGGACTGCAAGCTCCCCAGAATACTGCAGCAGATCGGTGCCCTGCAGTAGTGTAAGGGTAAGTCTGAGGACTCTGGCGTGTGCTACAAAAACAAGGAGATGGAGCCGGGCCAGCAGCTTGAGTCAAACAGCTGAGAGATCCCGTGGGTAAAATCTAGACTTGCTGTCCTCACAGAAAAGAACTTAGGAGTCTGACCAGAGGAGCTTAGCAATGCCAGCTGGGCTTACAATAGATGTCATGTACGTCATATGTGGGCATATAGACAAAATCTCTGTGCATTTACGCAGACGCACACATATGTCTGCAATCAGGTGAAATACATAGCTATGTACACACATGGAAAAACACTGTTTAGCAGCATTTTCTTGATCTAATAGTTCCAAGCAGCTGTCTACCTTTTTTGTCTGCTGTTTCTGCTTTCAGGAGAGAGATGACCAGGAGCTGCATCTGCCTCATTCTGACATTCAGCAGCTTCCTGAAGGAAATTCCTGGAAACTTCCTTCTGCGGGATCAGGTGCATCCTCCCGGCCAATGCAGCTTCTTTCCCTGTCAGTGATCTGTGGTTTGAGATGAGAACGTATCTCCATTCTTTCTGCAGCTCCACAACATGATCTGCTTCAGTCCAATAAAATACACTTGCTCTAAGCGTCTGTGTCCACTGTTGTAGTTCTTTTGCACACAGACCTATCCACGCACTCATCTGCAATGCCTCTCTGCTCTCTGCAATCCGTTTCCCACCTGTCTCTCCCTACTGACCTCCACAAACTTCTCCGTGTTTGTTTCCCACATCATGTACAAATGTCATGACAATGGTCTGAGTGGGAGGGATGCACAGACTGCTGTACTGCTGGTGGCAGGTGGTGCAGTGCTGAGGATGGCTGAGGCAGCCTGTACACGCATCCCCTGCTCTGAGGACTCATCTCCTCCTAGCTGATGTCTCATGGAAGGGCCACGACAAGGCCTCAGAGTACTCTTTTGTCAATGGTTTTGTTACAGCACGGCTGCCATCAGGATGTGATGGGGGTTCTCATTTACACTGCAGTGCTGTCAAGTGACGAGCAGGTCAGGACTGAACACACTAGCGCCTTCTGCTGAGAAGGCTGCTGTCTGCAGAACGACCACTGAGGTAATGTAAGAAATTCACAGATGCTGGTTTTGCAGTTGGCCATTAACCAAGTATAACTGTCAGAACTAGATAACAAGATGGTGGTTAAGGCAGGAAACTCGGGCAGGAACCGGGTTAGTGGTTCACCAATGTGCAGAAACCACACAATAAAAGGAGATTAGCAAATAATGGGAGTGGGCTCTCAGATTAGAGTAGTGGGAGATGTAAAGAGTACATTTTGTAGCTAAGGCTTGGCCAGACATTAGGAGAAGGGTATAGAAAATAGTCCAGTGGAGTGAAAGTCCCTTAGAGGAATTTCTAAGGGAAACCCAGAAAGTTTTTGTAAAGCAAGAGAAGGAGAAACAAAACCAGCAAAAATTAGGATGTCCATGGTGAATCAAATAGTGGAAAAGAGAATATAGAACCCGTGGCTCCAGGAGGCCGAGGGGCCTGGACAAGTGGTGCAAGAGGGGGAGGCAGTAGTAGTAGGGGGCTGGGGAAATCTTGGCAGTGGCCACCAACTCCCCTCCCAGCCACAAGATGCAGAAAGAGCAGACACTTTAAACATGAGTGCCGTAAACTTAGAAAGGAGGAGAAGGTGATCCTACTGATGATGTTCAAAGACACTGAATAGGGGGGTCAGGGGTTCCTCAACCTGAGGTTCAGCTGCGACCCCTTGATGAATTTAAAGGTAAGACCTCAGGATGAGGAGGTGGCCCTTTTAATAGATACAGAGGCAGCCAGAGCCATACTGGCTCAGGGGACTGAAATCATCAAACCAAAGGCTAACTGTTTCAGGAGGGATTTTCAGTTCCCATATTTGAAGAAACTACCCTGAAATTAAATAGCGAAACAATTCAAGGGCAATTGTTACACATTTGTGAAGCAGGAATCAATTTGCTAGGGAGAGATTTAGTTGTACAACTAGGGTTAGAAATGAAAACTTACAGGGATCAAATTTGGTTTCAATTAACAGAACAGGATGAGGAAAAGATAGACCCAGTCATTTGGGTAGAAGAGGGAAACAGAGGAGGATTAGATATATCTCCCTTAAAGATCAAATTGAAAAGGGAAGATGAGGTAGTTAATCAGAAACAATATCCTATTCCTTTAGAGGGACAAAATGGATTACAGGCAATCATAGAAAACCTAGTTAAGGATGGGCTTCCAGAACCCTGTATGTCTCCCTTTAACACATCAATCTTACCTGTACGAAAAACTGACGGGTCATATCATTTGGTGCAAGACTTGAGAAAACTGAACCAAATGGTTCAGGTCTGACATCCAGCGGTCCCAAATCCTTATACCTTGTTAAGTAAAATACCACATGACCATGGATGGTTCAGTGTAGTGGACATAAAAGATGCCTTTTGGGCATGTCCACTAGGCCCAGAGAATAGAGGCATGTTTACCTTTGAATGAAAAAACCTTACACAGGACATAAACAACAGTACAGATGGACTGTCTTACCACAGGGATTTACTGAGTCACCAAATCTATTTGGACAAGTATTGGAACAGGTGCTAGAGAAATTTAATCTGCCCCCTGATGTCAGTGTATTGCAATATGTAAATGACCTTCTAATCCCAGGGAAAAAGAGAGAAGTAGTGGCAGAAGCCACAAATGCCTTGTTGAATTTCCTAGGAGAATAGGAAACTGCACTCCCAGCCACAAGATGTTTCCTATGTGGAAAGAGTGGACACTTTAAACATGAGTGCCCTGAGCTTAGAAAAGAGGAGAAAGTGATTCCACTCATAAAGTTTAAAGACAATGAATAGGGGGGGTTCTCAACCTGAGGTCCTACCTAGCTATGTACACACATGGAAAAAACACTGTTTAGCAGCATTTTCTTGATTTAATAGTTCCAAGCAGCTGTCTACCCTTTTTGTCTGCTGTTTCTGCTTTCAGGAGAGAGATGACCAGGAGCTGCATCTGCCTCATTCTGACATTCAGCAGCTTCCTGAAGGAAATTCCTGGAAACTTCCTTCTGCGGGATCAGGTGCATCCTCCCGGCCAATGCAGCAGAGGGTTAAGAGCTGCTGAAAACAACATGAGCCTGCAGAAGTTTGCACAAGTCAGTTTAAGCTCTCGAGGACTCTCTGAAATATGAGCTCATTATTCTGCCAAGAACTGAAGGACTTTGAACTTGCCAAGAACTGAAGGACTTTGAACTTGCCAGGAACAAAGCGTTTGGATTTCCTGCACCTTTTCAAGCATGGGAGAATGCCTGTGGTTTCTGCTCTTCCCCTTCTGAGTAGGCCACTTTGACCGGCAGCTCCCACTGACACCATTGGGGAATTTTAGGCTTCTTGGCAAGATGCAGCGGTGGGGACAGGCTTGTGCTGCCTCATCCCAGCCCTCAACCCGGAATCCTCAAACTCTGGAACAAGCATGGTCCCTTCTGCTATGACAAGGCATTTGTGGCTTCTGCCACTACTTCTCTCTTTTTCCCTGGGATTAGAAGGTCATTTACATATTGCAATACACTGACATCAGGGGGCAGATTAAATTTCTCTAGCACCTGTTCCAATACTTGTCCAAATAGATTTGGTGACTCAGTAAATCCCTGTGGTAAGACAGTCCATCTGTACTGTTGTTTATGTCCTGTGTAAGGTTTTTTCATTCAAAGGTAAACATGCCTCTATTCTCTGGGCCTAGTGGACATGCCCAAAAGGCATCTTTTATGTCCACTACACTGAACCATCCATGGTCATGTGGTATTTTACTTAACAAGGTATAAGGATTTGGGACCGCTGGATGTCAGACCTGAACCATTTGGTTCAGTTTTCTCAAGTCTTGCACCAAATGATATGACCCGTCAGTTTTTCGTACAGGTAAGATTGATGTGTTAAAGGGAGACATACAGGGTTCTGGAAGCCCATCCTTAACTAGGTTTTCTATGATTGCCTGTAATCCATTTTGTCCCTCTAAAGGAATAGGATATTGTTTCTGATTAACTACCTCATCTTCCCTTTTCAATTTGATCTTTAAGGGAGATATATCTAATCCTCCTCTGTTTCCCTCTTCTACCCAAATGACTGGGTCTATCTTTTCCTCATCCTGTTCTGTTAATTGAAACCAAATTTGATCCCTGTAAGTTTTCATTTCTAACCCTAGTTGTACAACTAAATCTCTCCCTAGCAAATTGATTCCTGCTTCACAAATGTGTAACAATTGCCCTTGAATTGTTTCGCTATTTAATTTCAGGGTAGTTTCTTCAAATATGGGAACTGAAAATCCCTCCTGAAACAGTTAGCCTTTGGTTTGATGATTTCAGTCCCCTGAGCCAGTATGGCTCTGGCTGCCTCTGTATCTATTAAAAGGGCCACCTCCTCATCCTGAGGTCTTACCTTTAAATTCATCAAGGGGTCGCAGCTGAACCTCAGGTTGAGGAACCCCTGACCCCCCTATTCAGTGTCTTTGAACATCATCAGTAGGATCACCTTCTCCTCCTTTCTAAGTTTACGGCACTCATGTTTAAAGTGTCTGCTCTTTCTGCATCTTGTGGCTGGGAGGGGAGTTGGTGGCCACTGCCAAGATTTCCCCAGCCCCCTACTACTACTGCCTCCCCCTCTTGCACCACTTGTCCAGGCCCCTCGGCCTCCTGGAGCCACGGGTTCTATATTCTCTTTTCCACTATTTGATTCACCATGGACATCCTAATTTTTGCTGGTTTTGTTTCTCCTTCTCTTGCTTTACAAAAACTTTCTGGGTTTCCCTTAGAAATTCCTCTAAGGGACTTTCACTCCACTGGACTATTTTCTATACCCTTCTCCTAATGTCTGGCCAAGCCTTAGCTACAAAATGTACTCTTTACATCTCCCACTACTCTAATCTGAGAGCCCACTCCCATTATTTGCTAATCTCCTTTTATTGTGTGGTTTCTGCACATTGGTGAACCACTAACCCGGTTCCTGCCCGAGTTTCCTGCCTTAACCACCATCTTGTTATCTAGTTCTGACAGTTATACTTGGTTAATGGCCAACTGCAAAACCAGCATCTGTGAATTTCTTACATTACCTCAGTGGTCGTTCTGCAGACAGCAGCCTTCTCAGCAGAAGGCGCTAGTGTGTTCAGTCCTGACCTGCTCGTCACTTGACAGCACTGCAGTGTAAATGAGAACCCCCATCACATCCTGATGGCAGCCGTGCTGTAACAAAACCATTGACAAAAGAGTACTCTGAGGCCTTGTCGTGGCCCTTCCATGAGACATCAGCTAGGAGGAGATGAGTCCTCAGAGCAGGGGATGCGTGTACAGGCTGCCTCAGCCATCCTCAGCACTGCACCACCTGCCACCAGCAGTACAGCAGTCTGTGCATCCCTCCCACTCAGACCATTGTCATGACATTTGTACATGATGTGGGAAACAAACACGGAGAAGTTTGTGGAGGTCAGTAGGGAGAGACAGGTGGGAAACGGATTGCAGAGAGCAGAGAGGCATTGCAGATGAGTGCGTGGATAGGTCTGTGTGCAAAAGAACTACAACAGTGGACACAGACGCTTAGAGCAAGTGTATTTTATTGGACTGAAGCAGATCATG